TATATTAGCTGTTTTATTTTAGTGCAGTAAAGCTATATTTTTGACAGCTTGACTCAATTTAAGGATTGATTCTGAATATGGGAGATGATACTGGGAAAAGTACCATTTAATAAGGGCGGGGTTGAGATTTATTAACATCATTTTTCCTTTAACATTTCCTTCTACACCGTATTTCCTGTAATTATCAATCCTAAAGTATTGTCATAACTTGTGTGGAAGAATTTTTGTTGAATAAAAATCATAAAAACATATGCTACCATAAGCCATGTTAAATTCTATGTAAGTACATTTTGGAATAATACATTATTGTCATAGTGAAAGGATGGAGATGCAACTAATGTATGCTATAAAACTAGTTTAAATTTGCTTTAAGCTTTGCAACTCTTCCTGTTCATGGCTGTACCTCATCCTTTTCCAGTTTGTCTGTACTTAGCTTTATATCTAATTGAAATTATCTCTGTAGTTAATTATTTGGCTGTATGTGAAAGTCCTTTTGAGGAAAGGAGAGGTATTGTTCCTATTCATGAAAGTATATGTGTACTGTATAATTGGACAGTGATAGAATGATTTTAGTTTTTAATCTGGTATCTCTTTAAAAATCACGATTTTTATTTCTATTTTTATTAGCTTTAAATATAGAAGAATGTATAATGTAAATGATTTCTATTTTAGAATTTGTTGTGACTTAAGAACAATTCAATAAAATAACAAAAGTTGTCTTTAGGTAATGCATTTGTTTTACTCATTTTTTTCAATAGCCTATATAATAGGATTGGTGGGGGGTTTTTTTTTTTCTGTTTTTATTGTTGGGGATTCATCCAGGGTACAAAGATCTAGGTTACATTGATTCCATTTGTTAGGTAAAGTCCCTCTAATAATTGTGTCCTGCCCCCAAAAGATGTGTCACACATTGTGACCCCTCCAACCCCCTCCCTCCTTCCCTCTTTCTGCTCTCTCTTTCCCCCACTCTCCACTGTATACTAAATCATTAATTGTTCTCATATCAAAATTGAGTACTTAGGATTCTTCTCCATTCTTGTGATACATCCAGATTAATATAAAAGATGTAAAGTCTCCATCTTTTTTAGTGGCTAAATTCCATGGTATGCATATACCACAGCTTATTAATCCATTCTTGGGTTTGTGGGCATTTAGGCTGTTTCCACATTTGAGTGATTGTAAATAGAGCTATGATAAACAGGCTAGTACAAGTGTCCTTATGGTAAAAAGACTTTTTTCTTCTGGGTACATGCCCAGTAATGGGATTGCAGGGTCAAATGGGAGGTCTAATTTGAGTTCTTTGAGGATTCTCCACACTTCCTTCCCAACAAGTTGTATTAGTTTGCAGTCTCACCAGCAGTGTAAAAGTGTTCCCTTCCCTTCTCTCCACATCCACGCCAGCATCTGCAGTTTTGATTGATGTGGGCCATTCTCAACTCAGGTTAGATGATGTCTTAGGGTGGTTTTGATTCACATTTCTTTGATGATTAGGGACAATAAGCATTTTTTCATGTTTGTTAACCCTTCATCTGTCTTCTTTAGAGAAGGTTCTTTTCATCTCTCTTGCCCAGTGATCTAAGAGATGATTGGGTCTTTTTATGTTGATTAATTTGAGTTCCCTGTAGATCAGCGATTCTCAACCTGTGGGTCTCGACCTCTTTTTAACAGCGAAAATACACTGCGGCATTAGGAAGATTGAGAACCACCACTGTAGATCCTTGTTATCAAGCTTTTGTCTGCTCCAAATATGCAAATATCCTTTCCATTGTATAGATTGTTTATTTGCTTTGGTTGTTGACTCCTCAGCTATACAGAAGCTTTTCATTTTAATTAAATTCCATTTGTTTATTTTTGTTGGGCAGTTGCCACAGAAGTCTTCTTCATAGTCTTTCCCTAGGCCAGTGTCTTCAAGTGTTTTTCTCATGCTTTCTTTTTGGAATTTTATCATTTCATGCCTTAAATTCAGGTTTATTATCCATCTTGAATCAATTTTAGTGAGTGGAGAAAGGTGCAGATCCAGTTTCAGCCTTTTACATGTGGATATCCAGTTCTCTCAGCACCATTTATTGAATAGGGATTCTTTCTCCCAGTGTATTTTCCTGTTTGGTTTATCAAAGATTAGGTGGCTATAAGATTTTAATTTCGTCTCCTTATTTTCTATTTGGTTCCAGATATCTGCCTCTATTTTTGTTTCAATACCATGTGTTTTGATCACTTATGGCCTTGTAATACAGCCTGAAGTCTGGTAGGCTGATGCCCCTGGCTTTGTTTTTATTACTATGAATTACCTTAGCTATATGAGTTTTTTTTCTGATTCCATACAAAATGAAGAATTATTTTTTCCAAGTCTTGAAAGTATGATGTTGGTATTTTAATAGGGATGGCATTCAATCTGTAGATTGCTTTGGGAAGTATAGACATTTTAATAATGTTTATTATTCTCAGCCATGAGCATGGTATGTTCTTCCATTTGTTAATATCTTCTGCTATTTCTTTTGTTAGGGTTTCGTAATTTTCTTTATAGAGGTCCTCCGCCTCTTTTGTTAGGTATGTTCCTACATATTTCATTTTCTTTGAAGCTACTCTAAAGGGACTTGTGTCCTTGATCAGTTTCTCATAGGACTGGTCTTTTTAATCATGTTGTTGCACACTAGAGTTTAGCAACTGCCATGTGAATAGCACAAGAGTTTTTATGTTTCTGCCAGAGGACAACTGACTATGAAAAGCAGAGTTGTTTTATTTACCTGTACATAAGAGTAGTGGTGTCTTTCAGACTGAGGATGGGAAAATTTTTTATAACTTCAACTGTAGGAACAGTTATTTCAATATGAATTCTTAAAATCTTTCCAACCCTAACTTTGCCACTGTCTAAACTTAGCAAATCATGTTTGTTTCTACATAATTTCCACATCAAAGGCAGAATAACCTCCATTTCAAGTATTCATTAAGAAAGTACATGTCACAAGTAGGCATACTGTTTTGAAAAGATTTACGTTAGTGATATATCTGGTAGACAATTCAGGCCATAGTTACTTAAGGTCTGATGCAGTGAGATATAAAGCTACTCTTAAGAAATACTCATCTGAGTATTCTGGACAGAACTATTTTAATGATTCATTGTATAATAGTATATCCCTGTTGACAGTGTGTTAGCACTATGTTCCTATGGAAGAAAGTTTCTGTAGACTTGGGATTTTAGTTTGGGGGATATATCTGAAACATATGAGGAATAATACTATGTATTGGAACATTCAGTAGCATGTTTAGATAATAATGAGTCTTTGTTCTGATGGCCTGTTTTGTCCTTAGTTTATAAAGGATTGAGTACTGATAGTGCATTAGTGAATAGACTGAGGTATTATATACTTACCATTCAGAGAGTTTACTTTCATTGCTCCCAAACCTTAAATAACTTACCATTTTTTTCTCAAGACTCAGAATAGATAAGCAGTGGCATCAGCACTTCCTAATGTCTAAAAACTGATTTATTTCAAAGAACAAGAGATTGTATTTTACAATTATTAATGCAAGAACACCTTAATCCTGTGTGGCTTTTAATTTATTCATCCAGGTACACTACATGAATTTGAGATAATTAATGAACAAAAGCAAGATCCCTATCCTTGTAAGGATTTTATATTTTAGTGGTAGTGACAGTCAACTATAATAAATTATATAACATGTTAAAAGATAGGCTCTATAGGCAGAAAATAGATCCAGGGTAATGTGGATTAGTGCTGAGGCAGGTGGACATACTGCAATCAGTATAAGGTCTTAGTCTTATAGATAAAGTAATATTGAAACAAAAACTAGAAGAAAGTTGTTCTTGCAGATATTTGAAAGAATATTCCAAATAAAGGGAACAGCCAGGAGTTTGGCCTGTTTGAGAACATCAGGGAAGCCCTGGGAAGCAGTGTGAATGAGAAGACTCACTTAGAAAGAATAAAAGATGAAATTGGAAAGGAAAAGAAAAACCAGATTGTGGAAGGTTTTGTTAGGATATTTATAAGGACTTTGGTTTTACCTCAAAGTGAAATAGTCATTATACAATTTTGAACAGGATTTGGCTAGAAGCCATTGTTTTGACAGCTTGGGACCCGAGCTTTGTAAACCTGAGACAATAGAAATTTGAGAATCTAACTAAAGGTATCCTGTACAAACTAGAAACTAGTCATCTTGTATACATACTTTTTGGGCACCCTGATCTACAGAGATACAAAAGTCCTGGTGTTTTCTAGGGTTCTGTGTACAGATCAGCTTGCTTCTTGTGACTTCCCTCTTTTAAGCCTTCGATTTCAGCTTTGTCTGATCTGTTCATCTTTACAACATCACTGTTACTTTTTCTCTTGTTCTATCATCCCTTGTCATTTTATTAGTTATTTTAGCAGAGTAGAGAGAAGCATACATTTTTAAGTCACCATGTTAAAGCAGAAGACTAATGTAAAAATCGATATTCCAATATAAGAAAAAAATACTGAGGTACTTACACTGAAGGTTCACTTTGCCATATAAAATATCTTACCAGAATTAATAGTACCTATAATGTTATTTTTGTGATACACATATCAAGACTTTAAAGATTGTAAATTTAAAATACCTCTGTTTATGGCTTTAAGGAAAGGATGATAACATTGATTATGGAAGTTTTATGAAAGCACATTGCCTCCCTGTAAAGCTCATACTTTGAAATTCACTATAGGGAGCAGGTTACATTTAAGAGCCCCTTTCGGTGAAGATTTGGGCAAGTTAATGTGTTTGAGGACTTGAGAACAAAGGGAATTACCTAAAGACAACATATTTTGATGGAAGGGTCATAAAGATAGGAGACCTGGATTTTAGCTAAATTAGAGACTTCGGTAAATCATATAATCTTTCTATGCCTCAGTTTCTTCATTTGTAAAAAGAAAGTTAGACAGTCTAAAAATTTCATGGTAACTAAAGTTGTTTTGAAAATATGCTTTTGTGGCTAATAAAATTTTCTGATTTTTTTTCTAATGCAGGTTAATGGTGCGATATAAGAAACCTTTAAAAGTTTCTGATGAATTAGTACAGCAATATCAAATTAAAAATCAGTATCTTTCAGCAATAGCATCTGATACAGAACAAGAACCTAAAATTGATCCATACGCATTTGTTGAAGGAGATGAAGAGTTCCTTTTTCCTGATAAAAAAGAAAGACAAAATAGCGAGAGAGAAGCTGCGAAAAAACACAAGGTAAGAGAAGTCACAGTACTCCAACTTACTACCATACCTATCTCACTTTCTTCCCTTAGTATAAAAAGAGTAATCGTTTTACTTAGAAAACATTTTTTTGAATGAATAAATCAGGCACATGGTACGTATTATAGCTGATCTCTGAAGATGAAAAGATTTTTGTTTACTTTAAAAGTTTCTGTGCTGTGAGTGGCACCTGTGGCTCAAAGGAGTAGGGCCCTGGCCCCATATGCCACAGGTGGTAGGTTCAAACCCAGCCGCCGCCAAAAATTGCAAAAAAACCACTAAGATTTGCTGTGGCGCCTGTGGTTCAAAAGGGAAGGGTGCCGGCCCCATATGCCAGAGGTGGTGGGTTCAAACCCAGCCTCAGCCAAAAAAAAAAGTAAAAAAAGTTTCTGTGTTGTGCAGTGGTTCACCACTGTAATCCTAGCATCTTGGGAGGCTGAGGCTGGAGCATCACTTGAGCTCAGGAGTTTAGGACCAACCTGACTAAAAGTAGAAAAAGTTCACTGGGTGTGGAGCCTATAGTCCCAGCTACTTGGAAGGCTGAAGCAGGAGACATCTTGAGCCCACGAATTTGAGGTTGTTGTAAGCTGGGCTGATGCTATGACACTCTAGCCTGAGGCAACAGGCTGAGACTCTTGTTTCACAAAAAAAAAAGTTTCTGGGTTGGAATAAGACTACATTAACTTCTATCATAATTTGAAATCAGGACATTTTGGACTATTTTGACAGTGAGTTAAAAATGTCATAAATAACTTTTTTTAAATCTTGAGACCAAGAGTCTCACTTTGTCACCCCTTGTTGAATGCCTATCCTGGTGCCAGAGCAACCTCAACTCTTAGGCTCAAGTGATCTTCTTACCTCAGCTTCCTGAGTAGCTGAGACTATAGGTACCCACCACAGTGCCAGGCTATTTTTAGGACTGGGGGCCTGCTCCTGTTCAGGCTGATCTCAAACTCCTGAGCTCAAGCTATCTACCTGCCTCAGCCTCCCAGAATGCTGGAATTATAGTGAGCCACCGCACCTGGCCTAAAATTATATATTTTTGAATATGTGATTTAGGCACTTACAGAATAGCTTGAAAGCAGAAACTTACATTGATGAAGTATGAGGCAAAGAACTAATTACTTGATTAAAAATCAAATATTTGGCTCGGCGCCTATAGCTCAACCGGCTAAGGCGCCAGCCATGTACACCTAAGGTGGCGGGTTCCAATCCCCAGCCCAGGCCCGCCGGCTGCAACCAAAAAAATAGCCGGGCGTTGTGGTGGGCGCCTGTGGTCCCAGCTACTTGGGAGGCGGAGGCAGGAGACTCGCTACAGCCCAGGAGTTGGAGGTTGCTGTGAGCTGTAACTCCACGGCACTCTACCCAGGGGAACAGCTTGAGGCTCTGACTCAAAAAAAAAAGAAAAAAATAAAATAAAAATAAAATATTTGAAGATCTGTTAAGTGTAAGATAACCTTGTTAGTGGCTAGGTGAGGTGGCTCCACCTGTAGTCCTAGTACTTCAGGAGGCCGAGGCAGGAGGATCACTTGAGGCCAGGAGTTTTGGGACCAGCCTGATCCACATAGTGAGACCCCCCACCATTACAAAAAATAGAAAAAATGATCCTGGGTGGTGACACATCACTGTAGTCCCAGCTCTTTGGGAAGTAGATTCAGGAGGATCAGTTGAGCTCAGAAGTTAGAGGTTGCAATGAGCTATGATGATGCCACTGTGCTCTAGCCTGCATGACAGAGCAAGACCTATCTCAGGAAAAAAAAAAAAAACTCTGTTAAATGAGAATTTTGCTTTAAGTACAAAATATGAAAACTAAAAGCTATAAAATTGTGAAAAGAATCCAGTAATATGTCTAATACAAAGAGTTAATTTCACAGAGTTTTACTTAGCCATACTATGTATCAGACACTTGAAATTTTGTCCTTTTGTAAATGTGAAAACAATAGCAGCTGGCAAGGTAGAATAGAAAAATCATGGACATTAGAATCTTAATGATACGGCTTGGCACTCATAGCACAGTGGTTATGGCATCAGCCACACACATTGAGGCTGGTGGGTTCAAACCCAGCCTGGGCCAGCTAAACAACTGCAACAAAAAATAGCCGGGCGTTGTGGTGGGCACCTGTAGTCCCAGCTACTTGGGAGGCTGGGGCAAAAGAATCGTTTAAGCCCAAAAGTTTGAGGTTGCTGTGAGCTGTGACGTTACAGCACTCTACTGAGGGTGACATAATGAGACTCTGGCTCAAAAAAAAAAAAAAGAATCTTACAGATAAAGGTTAAAATTGCAGCTCCCACTACTTAGCAGCCATATATCCTAGGACAGATCATCTGTAGGGCCTCTGTTTCTTATCTGTAAGTTGAGCCTACTACCTCCTTGTTAACTTTAAGAATCAGCAGTAATGTATGTAGAACATTTAGCATAGTGCTTGACATACAGCTATTTGATAATTGGTAGTTCGTTATTGGTAAATTATATATTTCAGCCTAACATGTAATATTTGTTTACAGATAGAAGATGGGACACCTAGTGTAACAGTGTTGTCACATGAAGAGGATGCTATGTCATTATTCAATCCCTCTATCAAGCAAGGTAAAACTTTTATTTCCTAGTCAAAATATTGCAATCCAGGATTGTTACTACAAACTGATATGATATTGTTGGACTTTTAATATGCCTTTTTGCAAAGTTTTATAGAAAGGGACCTTTCTTAAAATGATGGATTTATTGTTTATCTTTTATTTTTTTGAGACAGTCTCACTGTGTTGCCCTCGGTAGAGTGCTGTGGTGTCACAGCTCACAGCAACCTCAAACTTGTGGGTTTAAGCAGTTCTCTTACGTTAGCCTCCCAAGTAGCTGGGACTACAGGCACCCACCACAATGCCCAGCTGTTGTAGTTGTCATTGTTGTTTAGCTGACCCAGGCTGGGTTCAAACCCTCCAGCCTCAATGTATGTGGCTGGTGCTGTAACCACTCTGCTGTGGGCGCTGAGCCTGTTTATCTTTTATTGAGAAACACAAGTTCAGGTAATAGAAATTATTTTGATTATCAAAAATTCTTTCCTGGCTGGGTGCCCATACTCAGTGGTTAGAGCACTGGCCACATGCTCCAGGGCTGTGGAGTTCGAACCCTGCCTGGGCCTGCTAAACAAACAAAAAAAATAGCCGGGTATTGTGGCAGGTGCCTGTAAGTTCCAGCTATTAGGGAGGCTGAGGCAGGAGAATCGCTTGAGCCCAAGAGTTGGAGGTTGCTGTGAGCTATGATGCCATAGCATTCTACTGAGGGTGACAAAGTGAGACTATCTCAATTTTAAAAAAATAAAAAAATTCTTTCCTGTTTTACAACCAATAATAATTCTTACTTTTAAAATGAGAAGATTGAATAAGATCATTGCCTGTGATCCCTTAGCTCAAAAACCACAATTTTTAAATTAAGCTAGAATTAAATTTTGTTGGAAAATATACTAGTTAAAAGAGTTGTTTCTGAGGCTGTTAATTCAACAGATGTTTATTGGGCCTGCTGAAGTGGCTCATGCCTGTAATCCTAGCACTCTCAGAGGCCGAGGCAGGTGGATTGCTTGAGCTCACAAGTTCAAGACCAGCCTAAGCAAGAGTAAGACCCCATTTCTACTAAAAATAGAAAAACTGAGGAAAGAAGATCTCTTTAGCCTGAGTTGGAGTTTGCTGTGAGCTATGACACCACTCTACCTAGGCTAACAACTTGAGATTCTGTCTCAAAAAAACAAAACAAACAAACAAAAAAATTTGAGGTGTTTAGTGAGCCCCTGTTGTATGTCAGCACTGTTCAAAGCACTGGGGATCCACGGACACCACTTTGAAAGTGACTTGTGGGCTCAGCGCCTGTGGCTCAAGCAGCTAAGGTACCAGCCATATACACCTAAGGTGGTGGGTTCGAATCCAGCCTGGGCCTGCCAAACAATAATGATGGCTGCAACCAAAAAAATAGCCAGGCATTGTGGTGGGCTCCTGTGGTCCCAGCTACTTGGGAGGCAGAGGCAGGAGACTGGCTTGAGCCCAGGAGTTGGAGGTTGCTGTGAGCTGTGATGCTACAGCACTCTACCCAGGGGGACAGCTTGAGGTTCTGTCTCAAAAAAAATAAAAAAAGAAAGTGACTTGTGTTCTTTGTGAATGAAATAGAGAAGCAAAATATAGTAGTCAATCATTCATTCATTTATTTATTTTTGAGACTGAGTCTCACTATGTCATCCTCGGTAGTTGCTGTGGCATCACAGCTCGCAGCAACCTCAAAAATGATAGTTACCTCATTGTTGAAATCACTGTGGTCACCAGATAGCCAAGGGAAGTACTTGGGAGGTGATCACAGTGATATTCAGTAATGAGGTAGGTAGCTCCTTTTTCTAGGATGAGTTTTGAATTGTCTGACCTGACATATTTATGGTATATATCATGATATTTTAATATATGTATACTGTGGAATGGCTAAATTAAACTATTTAACATATGTATTACCTGACTTACTTATTTTTTGCTGTTAGAACACTTAAACTCAATTTTCATCAATTTTTAAGTTTATAGTGTATTGTTATTAACTCAGTTACTATGATGTACAGCAAAGTCCATTTAACTTGTGATGAGGGCAAAGGAAGTTGTCTTTTGGTGTGTGTTTTGAAAAGTTTCGTTTTAATATTTGAAATAAATAGAGTCAGTCTCTGGGTAACCCAAAATAAGAATAAGAGAAAAGTCTATCTGAACAAGTAGCTTGGCAAGTTAACAGTTTGGGTTCTTTGCCAAAGTGTTCTACAATTCATTGTAGTTTCTATCAGAATTCCAGTGACATCTTTCATAGTAATAGATAAAATAATCCTAAAATTTGTATGGAAATACAAAAGACCCTGAATAGCCAAAGCAAACTTGAGCAAAAAGAATAAAGCTATGACATCACACAAGGTGATTTGAAAAGCTGTAGTGATTAAAAAATAGCATGGTAGTGGCTTTTAAAAAGATACATAGACCAGGCAGCGCCTGTGGCTCAGTGAGTAGGGCACTGGCCCCATATACTGAGGGTGGCGGGTTCAAACTCGGCCCAGCCGAACTGCAACAAAAAAATAGCCAGGCGTTGTGGCAGGCACCTGTAGTCCCAGCTGCTTGGGAGGCTGAGGCAAAGAGAATTGCTTAAGCCCATGAGTTGGAGGTTGCTATGAGCTGTGTGACACCACAGCACTCTACCGAGGGCAACAAAGTGAGATTCTGTCTCTACAAAAAAAAAGATACATTGACCAAGCCAGGCATTGTGGCAGGCACCACTGGAGCCCAAGAGTTTGAGGTGCTGTGAGCTGTGATGTCACCGCACTCTACTGGGGGCTACAAAGTGAGACTCTGTCTCAAAAAAAAACAAAAAACAAAAAAAATAGACCAATGGAACAAAATAGAGAGCCCAGAAGTAAATTAGTGTATTTACAGTGAGCTGATTTTTGATAAAGATACCAAGAACACACAATGAGGACTATCCCTTTCAGTAAGTGTTGCTAGAAAACCAGATAACCATGTGCCAAAGAATGAAATTAGACCCTCATCTCATATGATATACAAAAATCAACTCAAAAGGGATTAAAAACTTAATCCTAATACTTGAGAATATAAAACTACTAGAAGAAAACATAGAAAAGTCCTAGGATGGTGGTTCTCAACCTTCCTAATGCCATGACCCTTTAATACAGTTACTTATGGGGCAGTGCCTGTGGCTCAAAAGGGTAGGGCACTGGCCCCATATGCCAGAGGTGGCGGGTTCAAACCCAGCCCAGGCCAAAAAAAACCAACCAAACAAACTATATATATATATATATGTGTGTGTGTGTGTGTGTGTGTGTGTGTGT